CTAAGTGTTACTGTATAGGTGAAAACAACTTCCACTTGGAGAAGTAGGACTCTCCTATATTCAGCAATTCCCCTTTCTGTTGCAGCCTTCCGAAATGGAACAGAATGGCATGCCAGAGTTCTCCACAAACTTCAGAAACAGCATTTTCAGGGGAAGCAGGAAAAACTGCTTTGTGAACACAGCACTGTTCCACCCGCAAAACAAAAGTTATAGCAAGAGCAAAGTTGGACAAAAGGAAAAAGCTAAAAAATCATTACTTTTAATATCCTGCCTATTCACAGAGACTGGGACTCTAGGCAGCAGAAATCCTATTAGTGCAATACTATTAGCTGATGAATCCAAAGGTGTGCAACTTTTCAAGTTCTTTAGAACTCTTCAGTCAAGAGGGTAAACAAAGCAAGCAAAGAGCAGGGAAGTAATCAATAAATCTGTATGCAGTTGGTTACACTCTTAATCCAGAAATGGGGGGCTGCTACAGATTTTTAGGTTAGGCTATATCAGGTACTGAGATTATTTCAAGGGACATCAAGATACCAATATACGTTAGGATCCAAGTCTTTTTCTCAAATTCCTTTTTTAGCAGTTCTTCCTTAGTCTTAATCCAGCCCTTGTAGCCACCCAAATGCTTTATAGCCACAAAAAGGAATGCATATAAGGGAACTTCAAAATACATAGACAAAGAAAGGTCTTTCTTAAGTGAGCATTTCCTTTCCATTTAAAATTTGTCGTAGAATCAATTTGCTTCCACTGTCGAATGGAAAATAAACCCAAATGTACAGTAAAATCTTGAAGAACTGCAACTGGATTATAGAGTGATTACAAAAAACTCCATGAGTTTCAACTGAAAGAGACTAGATTTGAAAGCATGATGTAGCTAAAGTAGAAAAAGAACATACCCCAAAGAAATATGGTTCAGATACTGAAAATTCTTGAGCATTGTGTGTAACATAGTCTTGGCTAACTCTCTTCTCTTTTGGACATTTTGGATAAGAATGTAACTGCCTGTAGGGAAAAGCATCAGACATTTTGGAATGGTTTGTGTATGTCTCTTCATTAGAGAATGCACTGAGACAATCACAGGCATAGAAGGTTAAAGAATAGTTTGCACACACAAATAACAACTTCAGTGGAAGATACCTGAGGTAAAATGCCCAGCTGTTTAAGAAGGAGTATTTACCATGCCAAAAAATAGCAAAAGTGGAAAAGTGTGTGTGTGTGTGTGGGAGTCATAAAAGTCAAAGGTGTGTAAAGAAGAAACATTGCTGGATAAGAGAACTCATTACTGGAAAATATGAAATATAGATAAAACTTCCAGATAGAAGCTATTCAACGTACTGTCTGCTGCTTCTACAATGTATACCTCAGTACTAAGGAAGGAATGAGTACCAATAGCATACAGTGAAAACCAATGCCACCAGAATAAACAACTCCACCTGCTATTTTTAGCAACAGTGGACAACTTAAAATACAGGAAATGAAAGATCAACATGCCAACCTCTACTGGTCCAATTTGGGATAAAGTCAAAATATGCAGACTTTTGAGTGCTACAGAATTCTTATTCAGGCATTTTTCCCGTTTCAATAAGTACTAACCAAAACAATCATCATATTTACACAAGATTAGCACATAGACTCACCTACCTCTATGACATAATGGAATGCTACAAGCAGTACACTGCTCTGCATCAGGCGATGCTATTAGTCTATTGCTATAGCATCAGGTAAAATCAGATTTTTAAAGAAGACTTCAAACAGAAGGATTTAAATCAGTGGGGGTTTTTTAATCCACTTTTTCTATTTTTCAAAAATTGCCCAGTTTAAAACTGGTGCCTGAATTCTAATACAAATATGTTAAAGCAAAGCCTATGCTCATCTCTTAACACTAGCTCCATGGACCAGTCTTAAGTATACAGTGTTGAAGCACCATTTTGCTAAGACTAAACTCTGGTTGACGTACCTGCCTTCTGAGTTCATGCATTACACAGATGGCATAATGTATCAAGTTTTTTGAATTATGAACCTGCTAAGGAATTGCCAAGTCATGCCAGACACTGGGATCTAATCCCAGCTCTAAGAACTCCTCCCTGTATCTCACTGAGGAATTATTCTGTGCTCTCCTTTAATGCTCACTCACTAGCTGAACTTGACCATTAGTTCTGTTTGCACATCAGGGATATAACATTACTAACAGTCTCAATATTTTGTATGACATCCCTGACCATTGACCATGCTGGCTGGGGCAGAAGGGAGTTGAAGTTCAATACATCTGGAGGGCACTAGGCTGGGGGACCACAAACAGTGCAAGGCAGAGCCCTGCTTCACCCAACACCCACATCCAAAGTATGCAGCCAGGTACGCAAGCAGGCATTCAGCTGTGCTGTTTTGGGGAACTGAAAGGCAGTGTGCACCTTCCATTCTTTCCCACTCTGCTCAGTCAAACAATGTGAAAACATGTAGGGAGGGAGCTTAAGGATGAGGGGGGAAACAGGGCCCTTTAATGCCCTAGAAGGAAGGCTGATGCCCTACATGGTATGGGGGCAGAGAGGTTAACTTCTAATCAATATCCTTCTGCAGTGTGACACAAGACCTACTTATCTATTAAATAAGCAATCATGTGCCATTTTCTTGAGTAGTTGAAGTGTTAAGAGATAATAGAGTGCTCCCTCCTCTAAGGGCTCTATTTAGTTATAAATCAACATTTCAAAATAGCTACATCAAACAATTGCTATGCACATTTTAAAAGAAACACTGAAAGGGCAAACAGGAAACTTAATTTAAAAGTAGTCCTTTTTCCACGACAATTTCAGTTGTAATTGAAACACCTTGATTTTTTTAAATGAATCCATCCTGCTTTACCTCTAAAGGCTGGTGTTCCACAGCCACTCTCAACAGGAGGCTATGAACAGCTGGAGGAGATGCTAAACCTTGCTAAAGGAGCACCATGTCTGGTCACATGGTGCTAGCGGAGGGAGGGGGAAAGTGAAGGGAGTGAAAGAACCTACTGCAGCATAAAATTACTGCAGAGTTCAACTTCCTTCCTTCCTTCCTTCCTTCCTTCCTTCCAGAACAAGAATGTACCATTTATGTTCAAGGTGTTCTAGGCTGCCTCTCTGTCTTTTACTTCAAGATTAAAGACCTTACAGCATCACTTTTACATACCACTTCTTCCATCTTACAGTTAAAGGCTTTTGAATTTTAATATACAATACTCTACAAGCCTGAATTTTCATTTCATTTATTACATTTCTATACTGTCCGATAGCCAGACCTCTCAGGGTCATACCTAAAATTAAGAGAAGGGGGGGGGGATCAAGGACGTGTTGTACCCACATACCTCCTTGCACTCACACTCCCCAAAGCCATGTACACACTGCAGCCTGTAACAATGACTTCAGGCCTGTAGAAATAGTTGATACATGTCATCTGCTTCTCTCTCTTAGGCAAGGGAATACCAAATGCCTCACAAAGCTATTTCCAGTTTCTAGCCTTTTGGAGAAACAGGAAGAGAAAGTGCAAACTCAGGCAATTAATGATAAAGGCAAGGATGTGTTTTTAAGACAGATATTAATTATTTTGCAAGTGTTTGTGACTTGCAGTTACAGGTACAATTCATTGTCTCAAACTCTTAGCTGCTCCCTACACACATTTACACAACAGAGATAATTTCTTAAAATCCATCAATTTTGATAGAAATGAAAGATCAATTGCACAGATGTCAAGTACAGATCACTTCTACACTTGTGGTGCAATTCTAAAAAGGACAATGGCAGATGATAAAGATTCTGTAAGCAATTTTTACCTGCTACCTCCACCCTTCAAGTTATACCAACTATAACATGTGACAGAAATGTTTTTGTAACCATGTAACTTTAGAAGTCTTGGAAGGAGCCACAAGGGGATCTCAGGTCACAATGGTGGTCCAAAGACAGGTCTGAAGTCACATGCAAAAGCTAAGAGGATGACCTACAGCCTAGTGCAAGAGCAAAAACTTTGCACACGGAAAATACCATTTACAATCTGTGTCTAGTTTGAAGGATGATGGGAAAGACTCTAACAAACCTGGAGAGCTGCTGCCAGCTAAAGTGGACAATTCTGAACTAGATGCTCAGATCGTCTGGCCATCTGATACAGGCATCTGCATTGCCTGGATGACACACTAAGCTGAAAACCACTTGAGCCCCTTCTCTTCTACAGATGCTAGTAATGAGAAACTCCACTTAAGCACATGTCCTAATGCACATAAGCCAAAGTCTTCTGGCCAAAGTCAGAGCTTTTTCCAGATACCACCACACCAGGGTGAGGAAAAATGCAGACACACCGGCCAAGTGTTTGGAACCTCTGCCAGTCTTAAGGAGGTCCAGACCTGATGAGACCCCTTGCACAGGAGCCTACTGAGAAGTCCATGAAAGACAAGCTATATTGAGCAGTGAACACAACACTGCAGACATACAAGTCACCCAACTGCCTATAAAATAAATGCTAGAAAGAAGCAAATACTTCTGAAAAATCTGTCTTTGTTTCTCCAACAGCTGCAACCTACCTCTCCGCTAACAGCACAATCCTATCCATATTTAGATAGGGAATGCTAGGGGTTGTAGGACCCTTTTCTATTTAAATATGCATAGTACTGCACCGTAAGTGAGGCACAGCATACAACCCACTCTATGCAATTATATGCACCTTCTTCATTAGGAAACCATTAGCACAGCACAATAACCTCAAAACATTATTCATATGCACACAAGACAGAATTTAAAGACCCAAAAGCGCACCATACATTCACACGAACAGCACTGTCTGACAGCCGTCTAGACAAAGATTCCAATGCTATCAGAAAGGAACCATCTGAGAACAAACCATACGGGGGCTTTCTGGATGCAATGAACTAATGTCAGGAGAGCAGAAGCAGGACTGCTCGTTCCACTTTAAACTAAAAAGTATGAAAATTAGGTGATTAAATGGGTTAAACAGACAGAAAAGTAGCATTACAGCAGCCTCACCTGACTTCTGTCTTTATCCACCTTCTTAAAACACTTATTCAATGACAAATTATGTCTCACAGAATTTTTCCATCCAGTAGGGGCATTTGCAAAATAAGGGAAGTGTTCCAAAATCCAGTTGTATATATCCTTAACGGGCAGGCGTTTGCTTGGAGAGTCCTCAATGGCCATAAATATGAGGCAGCTAAAGGAGTATGGTGGTTTACAGTTGGGGTTCTGCTTGGCATCGTAGGGCATGTCGGCATGAGCAGGAGAAGGGGGGGTGTCATCATCAAGATCTTGCACTGGGCTAACACTTCTTAAGACCGAGTCCCCAAAACTTTTCAGCAAATTTTTGCTCTCATGTAGCCAGTTCAAGTTGGTGAGCTCTTCATCCTCCATGGGACCTTTTTCCAATCGGAGGGCAGGTAAAGTAAAATCTAAATCCTCATCATCGTGAAGCGTCTTTGATAAGTCACTATCCCGGTAACACTGGTGGCTCAGTCCACTGGAAACACTAATTCCTGAGCCTTCTGGCTTCTTACTGGGAGGCATAACTGGACCCATTTAGATGGAGATTCCTGGTAAAATAAATCCAAACGTTTGTTAGCTGGTAAAGGCAAAAAGAGCATCACAACATTCTGACAGCTTTTCCCTAGTCTTGCAGTTTGGGCTTTGGTTAAATCTACATTTAAAAAAAACTACCCAGCATCACATAAACACCCATGCAGACAGGTTGAGTAAGAGAATTCAGCTGCTAGGGAAGGGATGGGATGTCAATAACTTGCATAAGGATGATGGTATTTCTGAGATGCTTTGATTTTTGTCTTACAAAGAACAGAAAAGTAGATGTTTATTCTAGATGTTCTTCCTAAGAGAGCAGTCCTTTATATACTTATTTGGAGAGCAAACTCTAATGCTATCAGTGGGGCTTCCTTCTGGGTGAGTATGCATCAGTTTAGAGGACTGTAAATATCACTGGTCATGTCCCTCCTACTGCTTGTAACAGACAAAAGGAAAAAAACAAGAAAAGGTAGCTTAAGACCAGTTGCTTCAGATTAAGTTCAGCTGTTTCACTTCCAGTACAAGCACAGCTACGTTATAATTATAGCCTCTCCAGCTCTGGTTGAACACACAAGGCAGGCAAAACTTCATGTTTACACACAGCTACCAGCCACATGTACAACCAAGCCTTTGCTCTCTACGGCTACTAAGCTGATGCCTCTTAAAGAAACTCTGGGACAATTCTGTAGCTTTGGGCGTAGAGTCAAGATATAAGGATCCAAGTGCAAAGTTGTGCCGGAAAGGAAGTCATACATAAAATTCCACCCCAATGATGCAAATTTAACTGAGCAATGAATGTGATAAGCATGACTTAGAAGAAAGCATGAAGAGTGACATCATGTGCCAATCAGTATAGGCTGTTGTTACTATATTAGGCCCAGAGAAGGATATGTAAAAATAGACAAGGCTGTATTTCAAAATAAAGGTTAGTATTGTTAAACCTGAAGGTACAGCAGCTATAAAATAAAGAGGCTGAATTTGTTGAAAGCAAAAACAGCTACATGTATCATTTGTACAAGTAAATCTCACATCTTATTTCCCAAACATCCATTTCCATATGTTTCAATAAACATTTAAGTCTAAATTCTATTTTCAGGATTAACAAGTCACATCAAGTCACTTGAATAGCAGTTCATCCTTCTCCCAAAGGCCTAACACCTATTATTTGATTATTTTCAGGACACAGTTCTATAAACAATGAGCTGCAAGACCCATTGTTTTCTAAAACATGCATAAGACTACACCATTAGGCTACAAGTCCATACCCACTGACTTAGAAGTAAGCCCCACTGAACTCATTAGGAAACACCTACTCTCTGGTAAACAACTCACTACTCATTCAGCTACTTTTTAAATTATTCATTCCAGAGCAGGTGTAAACTTTGGTACCCTTCCAAAGTCTGTGTAACTTGCAAGTTCATCTAATCATTTTGTCTACCATAAACCTGTGGAATGGGCCTCCTAGAGAGGTCCGCCTGGCGCCATAACTTCTTTCTTTTCACCAGGTTAAAACTGTCCCCTTTTGCAAATATTTCAAGTCCTGATCTGACCAACTGATTATAAGAGCTTGCTCTACTATCAGCAGTTGCTTTTCTTCCCTCCCCCTCTTGTAACTTGGAACTGTAACTGTTGGCCTGTATTTTATTGTTGTTTGCAGCTTAGAGAGTCTGATCAGGTTATTCAGTGGCCAATAAATAAATAAATAAATAAATAAATAAAGTTGGACTACTAATGAAAGACCTAGTGTGGTGTACATTTTTTATATAATTCAGCTAACATACTTCAAGGGAAAAGGAAGAAACTTTTGTACATTAAGAGAAAAAGTATCTGAGAAATGGAACTTACTTTTTTTAAACCCAAAAAAATCTTGTACAAATATTGGAAAGGGTAGTAATGGTAATGGGGAGGAAATGTTCAGCAGAATATCTCTTTTAAAAACACTGTATTATCATCTTTAAAAGTACATACCAATAAACACACAACTTTGTAAAGGACTTGATGTTATAAAGGAGATACACCATAACAATAAGAGAAAGCTGTAATTACATAAGAGGTTATTAAAGATCGAGAAGAAAGCCTTAGGAAAAAAGATATTACAAGGAGGAAGATATTGCAAAATATTGTGGAGTGGATACAATGTAGTTATTTCATATCAGTATTAAATATTAGAAAATGCATTGAAAACTCCATAAATCCAAGTTCAGTAAATAATAACCAGTTCAATGTGTGAAATTCAGAAGTTGGAGGCTATATTAACCAGTTCCTATTCCAATTATCATCAATAAATGGTTCTGGATTCCCAGAAAAACACAGCTAAATCCCTACTTCTCAAGACAGCTTTAAACACTCCATACAAATATTTAAACAGGATTTCATTCTTACACTGTATGAAGTTACTGCAGAAAGCATTTCGCTATTAATGAACAATGCAAAAATTGGGGGAGGGGGAGAGATACAGATCCTAAGTGGTAGCACGCTTAGTGTATCCCTAAAACATTATTTATTCTTCCCAGTCTTCAGTTGGGAGTACTGTAGCCAAGCGAGTTCAGTACAAACAGAACTTGTGTCCCATGAGCAAGCTTTTAAATAGGAAAATTATATCATGGCTGACAACATAATTTAATTGCTCTGTTGCTATGACGACATGCTGCTCTCTTTCAGTTTAATTTTGCTTACTTGCCAGCATTCTCCCAAAGGGCCATATCATACCATCAATTTTCACACAAAAACTAGTGACTTCTTTTTAAGCATTTATGGATGGATACTGTGGCAACTCTAAGTCTCCAGCTGCCAAAGCACCATGTCCAACAGTGACCAAAATTAGTTAAAATGTAGTCCTGCAAACAATTATATTTGGTGTTATCTATATAGCTTTCAGCATGTAATTTTAGAGTAGCAATTCAAAAGTCACTTAACAGGAGTAACTGTTACTGAACTCAATGGTTCACACTGTAAACATTTTTGGGGTTTCCACAGATAATACTTTAAAACATGAATTAGTTTAATGGGAAATAGTACAAACAGCTTTTTCATGGTGGGGGGTTGAAATACACATTATAACACAAATGCTTCATCATCCTTGGTTTTATTCAAATCGTTCTATGTTTTGATTTCAAGAAAAAATCCTAAAAGCCAGTGAAAATATAAATGCTGCAAGAAAATGTGCTCCTCTAATGTGCAAAAGAGTAACAATTTCCAGAAGAGATTCAAACCTTACAGAACTTTTCACATCTTTGCCAGAACCTATAAATTCTTGAACTTCACAAGAGGACACGGAAAGTTCCCAGTTCTTTGTGAGGAATGTAAGCGGACAATCAGGTTAAGTTACATTATAGAAGTCAGAAATCCTGGCCTAAATTTACTTGTATGGAGGCAGCCCCCCCCCCAAAACAGTAACAAAGGTTTCAAAAACCCAACCGAGCTTTCCTTGATCTGCTCCAGCTCTAAAGAAATTTCTTTCTAGCACTTCATACTTAGTGAAATCACATGAAAATACTTTGTAAATCGGCTGCCAATTAAGTAGCTCTGTCAGATATGTTCATAGCTGCTTACAGGCATGTGTAAAAACAAACTTTATTGCTGCAAGAGGAACAAACTCTTGCATTTCCAGTTGTAAAGCTGACATGGCAGAAGCACACAGGAAGGGGAAGGAAAACAGGGAGGAGGAAGACAATCACTAGCTATGAAATCCTTGCAGCATAAGTGCGATGCATTCTCCCTCAATCAGATGTCCTCACAACTACAACTGCAATCATCCCCAGCAAGCCTGGCTACTGATTGGTGATGATCGGAGTTGCTCTCCAAAGCATCTGGATGGCAACCAGTTAGGGAGGCTAAATGTCTGCCTGCGCCTAGCCTGTGCATCTCAAAATAGTTATACTAATTATAATACTGCGGCCCATTATTTTGAAGGGAAGAAAAGCCCGGCCAGCCAGGGACAGTTTTCTTGCAGCACTCTGCTATGCTCCCTACTGTACTTGTCAAAAACATTTGAAGGGGAGAAGGAGTGTGCGGATTGGCTGGGATTCGAATCAATCAATGGCGTTGCTAGGAGACTGGAAAACTGCACTTATGCCTATACAGTGCCATTTGCAGCAAACATGCCTTCAATGCTAGTCAGATGTCATAAACCTTACACTGGCCTTGCTTCTTGTAAATCACGCAATAATAAAGGCGACAGCAGCAACACCAACAACTAACCAGCGTATCTGAGAAATCAAAAGAGCATTTCTTTATATATCCATCACCATTATCCTCACCCCCAGCACCACTGCTCTTATTACAAAAAACTTAATGTTTTATTGTTATGAAGAGTGGTACGTTCTACTAAAAAATAACGAAAGTTTGCAACTGCTCTTTTTGGTTTTGTTTTCAACCCGTTCTCAAGAGTCTAGTGATAAAGAAGAAACTTACTCTCGTAACAATCAATAGATGTAAGTCCAAATGCTTGAAGGTGGGAGCTTTCCTCGGCTGGGCACTATAGTCTAAGCCCAGCCTAACTTTAAAACACAATGCCAACTCTATTCACCAGGAGTCTCCCGAATCAGGCAACTACAGAGGTGGCACAGCACTGCACATTCGAGTCGTGCCTGCAACTCTTAGCTCGAATCGCTTCCTTCTTCGCTTCACCTGACAACCGGGGATGGGGGGGAAGGATTATATCTTTTTTGTTTCTCTTTTACAGACGATCAGGACGGTATTTTTAAGACACCCCCCATCTGATACCGTCTTTGCGCTGATCCACTGTATCTTGTCTGTGTTTTCCTCCTCCTCCTTTCCGATTCCAATGCAGAGAATCTTACGCAATCTTTCCAACAAGGCAACCACAATTTTTAAGTCAAAAATCCACCAGGAAAAAAAAAAAAAGCGGAGACGGAAGAAAAATCACCCCTCCCCCATATATATGTATATGTATATTAAAAATCCCAAACTTACCTGGCTTGCGAGAGCTCTAGATTTTCACAGCCGCCTTTCCCATGGTCATTATGCAAACTTTTCATCCGAAGGAACGAGGCATTGCTTCCTCCCCTAGCCTGGAGCCAACAATGTGGCCGCAGGTTAGGAGCGGGGGGGAAAGAGAAGGGGATCCCGAAGCCGAAGAGGAAATACGAGGCAAGCATGGGACCCCCCCGCCGCCCTGCAATCACCCCTCTTCACACCTCTTACGTCGCTTCCCCCCAGCCGCCCCCCGTTTCTGCTCTCCCTGTCTGGACTCCTCCAGATTTGAGTAGCGGTTTGGGTCGGAGCTAACCGAAGAACGCTAAATTGTTTCCACTGCAAACAACAGAAAAAAGGCAACACATGACCACGGCCGGGGGGGCGGAGAGAGGAGGAGGGAGAAACGTGGGCAGGGCCAGCCGAGACTAGCCGCCACAGCAGGAAGGAGAGGGCTGGGCCAAGGGAGCTGGCGGGAGAAGGGGCGAGAAAGCGGGGGGGAGGAGGGTCCCTCGTCTTTATCGCGCCGCGATCCCAATTGCGCGACGAGCCAAGCTCGGAGGCGGGAGCTTGCGCGCACTCTCCGCCGCGGGCACCCAGGCTGAGCCGGCCAGATGCCCCCCGGCCCGGCCCGGCCCGGCTGAGGCCTGTGATCATTCACAGGAAATTCACAGGCTGCTGCTACCGCCGCCTCTCCCTCCCTCCCTCCGTCTCTCTCCACCACTTGGAGATTCCTAAATGTTGCACATACCCACCTCTTTCGGGTCCTCTGACTGGCCTTTCCCTCTTCTCTCCCCTCCCCGACAGTCTACGTGGTCTGTGGATGAGCCGGGAAGTCACTTCTCTGATCCGTGCGTACGTGTGTGTGCGCGCGCGTGTTTGTTTCACCTACTCTGGATCAAAACCATTTGACAGTTCTCAGAAGCTAATCGCTTTGAAAGTCTGCTCTACTTAACTAAAAAGACAGATTCCAGGCCCTTACAGACTTAATAGAACAATCCTACACAGAAGCCTCATTGAACTCAATGGGGTTCACTCCCCAATATGTCAGGTTAGGATTGCAGACTTAACAGATGGAGGTTGCAATCCTGTGAGCATTAACTGGGAGTAAGTCCCACTGAATGCAGGATAACCAGCTTCTGAAGACAGCTGCATAGGATTGCACTGTGAACCAGAACCTGCCTCTTCCATCACGTGCATGAAAAGTAATGTAAACAAGGTGTCAAATGGCCATGAAACATGAACACTCCAGTCGGTGGCATTTCTGTGCCAAATTTACTGGAAAACAGTTAATTTTAAGTATTTTTATTCATTTATTTTCACTTCAGAATAATACAGAAATCTCAAAGTTCAACTAGACTTACTCCCAGGGAAACAAGTGGAGGATTGTAGCTTTAATTTCTCTCCCTTCCCCACCTAAACAATGCAGCAGAAATCACTAGGATGGTTGTGGGCTACTTCATTTTTTTTTTCTTTCCAAGCCAAGGTTTAATTTCCATGTTGGAAAGAGCAGGTATTTTACAAGCCACAAAAAGGCAGTGAAAATGCAGTTTTTTTGTTTTGTTTTGTTTTGGTTTTTTTGCCGCATGGTGACTGGATCAGGAAGCTGATACAGGCAGAAGTTTTCCAAATCCACATACCAAGAAAGAAAGGACATAATCGCACATCAACATTGAAATACTGACAAAATACACCACACTGCAGCCCCAGCCTGTGTGTGTTTACTCTTCAAATTAAATCAAAATTATTTACTCCCAGGTAAGTATGCATAGGATTTTAACTGCAACCTTTCCAAATGTATCAGAGACAAGATCTGAAGCAACTACCAAAACAGTCTCTCTGAGCAGAGATGGCCCAAGATATTTTGGTGCCTGAAGCCCATCATGGTAGTTAAAATAGTATAATGGACCATTTGCTAACCTTAATAAGTACCCTAATATCTGTCATCTTGCTGCTGCCTAACCATGAGGAGGGCTGGCCCCATACCTAAAGCTGAGGTCTGCTTAATAAATTGGAGACACGCTGAATGGAGCTACAGCTTTCTTAACAAGGGCCTTCATATGCCTCACCCTCATTGACATGCATAGATGTAGGATTACACATAGAATGAAGGTATGTCCCTTCCTGTTCACCACCCACAGTACTCTGCTTTTGTGCACTCATGAACTGTGGAATCTCTTCATAGACTTGGGCAGTGTATTAATGTGGTGCACCATACAATCTTGGGGTTTAGAGCACACCAAAAGAATGGGCAGCAGACACCAAGCTTCCCAGTTCAGGTACCTTGGCTCTAGTGTCATCATTGGGAACAACTTTTCCACAACTCTTTTGTAGGTGCTTGGAATCATCTTACAAATATTCTTACAATATTCATCTTACAAATATTCATCTTACAAATATTCGGTCTAAAGTGATGAAGGAAGTAGACTGAGCTCCTCCTTTTTTGTTCCCCCATCCCCATCCCTTTACATTTTAGGGTACAACCCCATCATGTTTAAATAGACCACAGGTCATACAACCCTAAGCATTCCCTACCTGGCTGGGGATTACTGGGAGTTGTAGAACGTACTTCTGTCTAAACACACACAGGATCACACCCTTAATTGGGCAAGTTTTTCCTCTCCCTCCCCCACACATCAGTGCAAAACAGGAAGCTGTTCCCTCATTCTTGGCTTGATTACTGATACTGAAAAGAATGCCCTCAACTTGCCCTTAGTACATCTTTCCACACAGAAACTAAAACTATGAGAGCATATTATTCTGCATTTCACTGTGCCAAATTTTTCCAAAATGTTGCAGTCAAAGCTAATCTCTCTCAGGTATTGCCTGAATCAATTACACCTTTTAGCCTCTCTTATTCATAAGCTGATGAAGTACAAAAGCAAAAGCACTCTGTCCTATGTATGTGTGGGATCTACCAAGCATCCTTTGCTCCAAGGCCAGAAGAAAAAGGTAGGCAGGCTCCGTGCTTATATCTAGGTCCCATTGCTGAATATGAATTAAGTTTCCACAAACTTTTGATTAGGAATACGATGAATATATTTAGAATAAAAGGATCCAAGTAAGACCAAGCACTGTTGGTTGTAATCCAATGTACATTCATCTGGGAGTAAGTAGCATTGGATATAGTGGTAACCCAGTTGTTAGCTAATACACTTTATATATGCAGTGGATTTTAATTTATTTTAATGAGAGAGTTAGAGTTGCATCCAATGGTAACCTTCCACCAATGTAATGGACACCACTGCTAGATCAAATTTCCCTTCCCGCCTGTGCCCCTGCATCCTGCAATTTGTTCTAGAGCAGAGGTCCTCAAACTTTTTACCCAGGGGGCCAAGTTGAAAGGTGCCGGCGGTGCGCGCGGGCCGGTCCGGGGGTGGGGGCGGGGCGAGGCAAGATGAGGTGAGGCGCATGCGGTGGAGGCGAGGCAAGGCATGGGCAGGCACGCCCCACAAGGCGGGTGCATGAGGCAGCGGCTTGCTTGCTTGGAGAGTTTTCTCCAAGCGAGCAAACCAATGTTTCCCCGCGTGTGGGGCGAGGTGGGCAGTGGTGTGCGTGGTGGTCCAAATGTGCATGGCGGGCCGGATCCGGCCCCTGGGCCGTAGTTTGAGGACCCATGTTCTAGAGCGTAGTGGCAGCTGCAGAACAAAGGAGAAGAAGGGAAATTCCTTTGTGCAAGCAAAAATTTGCTCACCAAAAATTGGATTTAGGCTTCAACCTTCAACTTTGGACTATACCTGTGCACAAAATCTAAGAGAAAGGAATCACACACAGTGCTAGATCATGTAACCACCAAATTGCAGATGAGAAAAATTGATAGAACAAGATTGATTAGAAGGGACACTAGGAGTTGCCTTAACTGATTGAGAGCATAGTTCCATTTATTACTGACACTGACCAGTGGTGGGTTTTCCAGCCCCACCTGGAGATGCCTAGGATTGAAGCTGAGACCTTCTACCCACAAAGCACATGCTCTGCCACTGAACTTTGCACCCCCAGTATCAGCTGGCACCCCCAGTGGCTAAAGTCAATCACTGTTATCTAAACTGTATGATGAACATCTTACAGAACTATCTGGATAACAACTAATGCAGTCACAATAATCTCAGTAATCCAGAAGCGGCCTTTTTCCCTTTAGAGTCCTTTCTGGATCAGACACCAGGGCCATAAATCATGAGTTTGGTAGGCCTGCAGAGGGAAATAAAATATCCTACGCTCTTCATCTTAATCCTTTAGGCAAGATTCTATGGACAGCGTGATTTATTATTTTATCCCAGGAAATTAAAGATCCAGTGGAACAGCTGTCATGTATCCTGGATATTGTATAACAAATTCCCATACTGCCCAAGCCAACAGCTAGTCAGTCCTGTATCCTACCAGCAACAGGAATTAATAATTAAAACAATGGCACTTGTAAAGCAAAATACTATTGTTCTTTTATCCCTGCTTGCCCTGCAAACATGCCTGTTTATCTAAAGCTAAAGTGGACCTTGAATTATTAAGTCAAACATCCCTTATCTCATGGCCATTTTGTTGTTTTTAAAACGCAACCCAAGTTGCCAAATGCTAACTCCACCCACAGAAATGCATACACCCAAAGAGCTCTGAGAGTTCTTTTAGAAAGATAAGTAGGTAAGTCAACAAGAAAGGAGACATTCTCTCTCTATTGCCACTGAAGTCAAAAGTCAAGTGTCCAAAAAACAAAACAAAACACTACCCTACACTACACACGCACACTTCAATTAACACTGTTTTCTGTGGCTATAAAGAGGGGACCTTTTGGGATGTTTAGAGATATGCACACACACCAGGAGGGGAAGGGACCCATTTATCCAAGAATCAGTTGCATGCCATTTTACATTAAAGGCAGGATTGACATTTGATTTTGAAATGAGGTCAATGAGCAGTTCTGGAAACTAAATCAAAAGCCTGGAGGGGGAGATCCATGCAGGTTACAGCACAATCCTGTGCATGTTTACTTGGGAGTTAAGCCCTTCAAAAGGGCTGATGTCCAGGTTTGTAGGACTGCAAACTTAAATGTTGCAACTTGCAAGTGCTGATTAAATTAAGACCCATCCAGCTCCAGGATTTCTTTGGGTAAAGCAATTAGCCACCAAATATCCAGGCCTTTCTTTATCAGGCATTCTGTGCTCACTGTTCGGGATCAGGAGGGCAGCTTTTTCTTTACAAATATGCCTAGTCACTGAGGTGACTGGAGGACATTCTCCTGGAGGATCCAAACGTGTGGACCAGTGGCTCAGGTGGAGTCCACCAGCAGATCCTTCAAGTGGCTCCATTTCTATGGAATTTCCTGTCTCAGGAGGTCAGGCGGGCACCAACAGTG